AATTTCGATTCGAATTTCAAATCGAATATAAAAAAAATTTGGAAATTACATCTAACTTTGCATTTTCGGTCTAATAGTAAGAAATTAAGAATCTGTTTCCAAATAATGTAAAAATATAATGTAATATCCTGTGAGGATAAAATTTTACAAGACAATTCTTCCTTCGTTTTTTAACATTTTTAAATTACACATTTTTGAAAATCATTCCAAATAATTTTTTCAAATCAACTATAAAATATAAATCCCCATTTTATCTTATAATTTATAATAATCTTATAAAAAATTAATTTCTTTTATATAAATTTTATCTATAAACTATCTATAAACTAACATCTTTAAAAATCCATCAAATCCCTCATCTAAAATTCAAATCTATCTTACAGATTTATTCTGAAACAATATATATACAAAAGTCTTTATTTACCCTATAAATATAATATTTTACAAGTAAGCAACAATCTTTCCTATTCAACAATCTTGCCCCCTTTAAAAGTCCAATTCCACAACATTCAATTCTCAACTTCCCATTAAATCAAATCTAAAACCAAAATCTAAAACAATTCAAATATACATTCGATTTAAAATTAAAATTCTCCACATCCCCAATCTAAGATTCAAATCTCACAATTTATCCTGAAACAATATATAAAATTCTTTACTTATCCTATATAATATTTAATATAACATTTTTAATTAATCTTGCCTCCTTTAAAAATCCAATTCCACAACATTCAATTCTCAACCTCCCATTAAATCAAATCTAAAACAACCCAAATATTCAATTTAAAATTAAAATTCTCCAATCTAAGATTCAAACCTATCTCACAATTTATCCTGAAACACTCCACAACAAAATTCTTTACTTACCCCATATAAATATAACATTATACAAAAAAGTAAGAATCTTTAAAAATCCAAGCAATATCCACGTCTCAAAACTTCCAATTAAAATCTCAAGTGACCACCACAATAGCCAATATCGACCGCCTACACACGCCTCACCCTCGTGCCAAATTCACGTATACCAATTGAGGGGGGAGGGGGCGTCGATCGAAAGACAGAGGTTGCTCCCCATTGCCAGTGGCGTTTGGTATATGGGTGTCCGTGCTCCCAGCCGGTTAATATTTTATTATAATCCGAAGGACGCGGCGTATATGGCGAGGAAACGGTCCCGTGATACGGGCCGCGATAATTCTCGGCAAAACGAGCCATGGCTGTCGCATTATCAAAGCCACCAGAGAAAACCAGTTCGCAGAAGCGTGCACGCAACAACCGGCCGCGAAAGCTGGAATAACT